GATAGAAAATATAATTAGCTCGATATTAAAACAACAGAAGTAAATGGAAAGTCCCCACCATGCGCGTCCCTGCTCTATTATGGTTTACTTCAATAGATCCCAGAGGATCTTTTGCTGCCAAGCAACAAAAGCTGAACAGAGGGTCATAATAAGGTTGAGTTATCAGTCACATATAATGCTATTAAATACCTGCTGCATGCACTGAAACACATGCACATATCCATACAAACCTAGTTATTCACACACAATGGCTTTCAGTTCATGTTAAGCAACACACGAACGCAGTGTGATGGACATCTCTGATAGAGAGCGGGTTATTACAAGCAGAGCAGGTCATGGAAAAGCAGTCTCCTTTATGATTAAGCCTGTGAGACATTGATATGAAGATATTTATCTGCTTCAGAACTTCGAATGAAGCAGGAAACCAAAGCTATGCTTTCTGGACAGACAATACAAGCCATGGCATATCGTCTTGGACCGACTTGCTCAGTTCTGCTTCATTCTACTCAGGCGTCTGCATTAATATTTCACTAGTATGGTTATGCATTGAATCTTTAGATGTCTGGTTTAAAATTTGGTATCTGGAATGTAGTATTCCAGTGGTGAGCTGTCAGACAACTCGTTATCCAGTGAGTCCTGTGGCTTATGGAATAAGGTAGGTCTGTTCCAAAACTTAATGAGCTGCCTACCTAGACAGCATTTTAAGGCATCATAAGTGTAGCCCAGACACGAAGGTTGAACCAAAACATACGCATCAATATTGCATAAATCCTTTAATAAAACTGTAATCCAAGAGAGTTCTAGCAAGCTAAGTAAAAATTATTCCAACACTTCAGGAGTAAATGTTGACTATCAATAAGTGTAATTAATGCCCTAGTTAAATCAATAAAAACAGAACTTTCACAAACAATAAAAATACAGACCCTCGACTATTAATAAAAATAAAGACCCAAATATTCTATACATATTATTCCATTAGCAACACGTGCCCAAAGTCAACCAAAGCATGGTTGGATGTATGGTATTTACATGGTACCACAGGAGTCTAAAAAACACGGTTAAGACCATACCTTTTGGTCCTTTTACATTATTTCGTGCACTCTTAATATTAATTTGTTAAAAAATGTTGTTTACCTGGAGTCGTTCACAAGCCTCACCTGCAGGTGCATCTTAAAAGATGCGATGCATTTTTTGGTTTTATTTCAGTTAATCGTAGGGAAGCATCCACTTAATCCCTCGTTAGTCTCGTTCTCTGTTTTTAAAAGTATATTTTACTGTTGGCATGCCGTTTACTGTAACTGCTCCAAGTCACTACTCAGTACTCACTACTCGTTTTTACTCAGTTTGTGAGTGAGTTGTATGAATCATTCCTTTCACAGACAAGGCTTAAGGCTAGTCACAGACTAAAATGTTTGAGCTGTCTCAACTGAAAATATCTTGCTCTGACATATCTTAAAATATGTCAGTCATTGCTCTGTCTCAAGATGCACACCAGTAACATTTTCTTCTACCGCATTTTTATAAAAGCTGCTTAAACACCTTAATTTACTGTAACTAAGGCCTAGTCCTGGCTTAAGCTAAGCCCTGTCTGTGAAACCATTGAGTCTAAATCACGAACCGACTCAGACGTATTTGACCATTCATTGAGAAAAACCAACTCAAATTAGTGATTCATTCGCGAATAGGGCAAGTTCTGATTTTAACAGTTGACACAAAATACGGACACATGACTTGATTTCAAAAATATTGTCAGGGAAAAGGTTTCTAGGATGCGTTCCTCGCCAGACAATGATTTCTTAGTAAAATAGCCCTGGAGCACGAGGCACAATCTGAACGACACACCTACGGAAATTGGCTTGTTAAATCGCCGCCCACCAACAAGAGATGGCGCTAGGCAATTGTGCCAATAGATGCCGTACCTGGCAAAAGCCATCTCTGTCATTTAACAGTATCATATTCTGACAAAATAATATTCAAAAAAATAAATAACTAAAAACAAAAGGTTCCAGAGGGCACTTTAATGACTGGCCTGGAACAAGAAACCACCTTTCAAAACATGCTGAATATTCAGCCTAGGCTATAATGGTCCTACAGCACTCAAAAAAATAGATGTTTTGTTTCAGTATATTACGTAATATACTGAAAAACAACATCTATTTTTTTGTACTATGGGAGTCATTTTAACATCTTTTACTCATGTCCAAAGAAAGATAGAAAAAAAACAAGGATGGTCGGAAGAAGTTGTTAAATTAGGCTGAAAGAAAGATAGCTATGATAAGGCTGGACTGAGTGAGTGAGTCTGTTTCTGTTTCTTCATTAAAGTTTCATCGCCAGGCTGCTGATTTATTCCCTCCTGCAGGACAAACAGCAGACAGCTCCATCTCTCTCTCTCACACACACACACACACACACACACACACACGGCTGCATTGTAAGCTTGCGTGTGTAAACTGAATGGCTCAGCTAACCGCATCACTGTACTGAACCACAAACATATTCCCACTGGTCGCATAAACCCCCAGCATGCTCTCTGCACATGCACACACTACCTGTATGAGATCGGTAATGTCAGGCTCTATAGCTTCCTCTCACACATGACCTGACAACCAGTGTTGGGGGTAACTCATTACAAGTAATGCGAGTTACGTAATCAGATTACTTTTTTCAAGTAACTAGTAAAGTAACGCATTA